ACATTTAAATCATCACTACTGCATCAAAATTTTATCAGGCATTACATCTATCATAAGTATAAGCATGAGACATAACAAATGAATACCTGAAAGAAATTCATATCATATGAATATTCATATGTAGCATAATCTGATTATAGCATTACATATCGTAAAAAAATAAATGTGCATTCATACATTAATTACAGATATCAATTTACAATATAAAGAAAGTTCTGAATGCTTCTGCGTCAAAATAAAAATCAACCTATAGAAGATTATTTTTCTTAAATTAACACAAAATTAATTAACCTGACTTTACGGAGCAGTCATACGATGAGTGCCCACATATTCGTCTCGAGCTCGCTGCCTAATATAGTAACTTGGAGCTCGTAGACACTATAGAAATTCATAAAATTTGGCTCAAAACAAGAATTAACCCAGAAAAAATACTTTACTTGCCAAAGCATAAAACAATAATAGTATTTCAGCATAAATTTGCCTTTTTCGAAAATACTAAATTCCTCCCCAACACTTCTAAACACATTAATCTTCACTTTGCCCTCATTGATTTCATGTTAATATTCGTACAGAAGCGTTCAAGTCACTTTCAATGCTTCTAACAAGAGTTCGGCGCCTCATACGACTGCCAGAAACGAGAAAAGCCTAAAATTTGAGCTTGAAAACAAAACTAATTTCAATACGGAAGTGTGGAAAAAAATAAAAGCCTAAAACGATGAAAGAGAAAGATTAGCATTTACAGAAATTACCCCAGAAGCCTGGATCAAGAGCTACAACAACCCTATGTGTCGCTCGACCCGTCTGCTCACGGTTGCTACAGTAGAATCCCTTCCAAACAGCCAATACGGGAACAGGGAAGACAGCCAATACGGGAACAAGGAAGGAAATAGTGACAAGGGGAAAGAAATTCTGGTGAGGGAGGAAATTGCAAAGCTCACAAAAGACCTATTTGACCGAAACCAACGAATCAAAAGATGTGAGTCGGTTGTGAGCAGTTCTCATGCAGGATTAATCAAAGTATTAGAGATAATCAAAGTTTGATTAATTTAATTATACTTAAAAACTTTAGATTTTTATATCTCTCAACCCATTCATAATTGTGTTTTATATCAAATTGTTCGATTTCATGTATAGAATTTTATAAAATTGCTTCAAGCACATTCTGAGGGCTGTGAAATTTAAGTTACCTTTAAAATTTATCAAACATACTTGATTTCTCATTATTTGGGAGTCACATAATTTACTATGAGGGGCCCCCCATACAGATATCAAACCACATAATAAAATAGACCATATTTTACACTCGTAAGGTAAGGAAAAAATTCTAGTTCCACAGATCCAAAAATACAAAGATTTTCATCCTCCGTGCGATTAAATCCATTCTAAGACAATATTATCATCCTTTAGGATAGTATATTAATCTTTGAATTCCATAATCTAATCATTGAGATAGAAATCTTTCGTGGTCTATGGTGGCTCACAATAAAAAAAATCTCACCAAACATAGTTAAGACGTGATACAAAGATTTCTCATAATCAGTTTGGATTTATGTCAGGCAAGTCTACCATGAAACTTATACATTTGTTGAGAGGTTTGATGGAGAAGTACAGAGAAAAGATGATCTACGTATGATTTTTATTGATTTAGAAAAAA